CGGCGCCCGTCACGGCCACGAACTCCCTCAGCGCGTCCTGTCGCTCCGCCGCCATCTTCGCCCCGTGCGCTTCCCAAACCGCTCCGGCTGCCGCTGCACAGCCCCAGCCCCGCTGTTGCGTTCCGCTTGTCGGTCGACCTGGCCTCGCCGATGAGCGTCCCACGCGGTGTCTCACGCAAAGCCCTCCGTGCAGGAATCCCCGCCGCTCCGCGCTGTCTGGTGGTTGCGGCGCGGATCGCAGCCTGACAGCGGGGGTGGGAGCTGCGCGGAGGATGAGAGGCGGGCGGGTTTTCCACACGCGTGTGGGATGAAGGAGCCCCGAAGGAGTTAGATTCATAGTTATTCATTGACTCATCCCCTCATTTCATTAATTTATTCATTCGTTCATTCATTTACTTGTTCAAACACTTACTGAGAGCCATCAATATCCCGATGCTCTTCCAGGGCTTTGAATATGGCAGCGAGCAAAACAAAGTTCACGTTCTTTTGTTGCGTACATTCTAGGGGAGAAAAGCAGACCTTGAACATGTCACTCCTCTGCTCACAACCCTTCCATGGCTCCCCATCTCACCCAGCGTAAAAGACAGATGCAAGGCCCATGTGAAATTGGCCAGCTCCAACCGCAGTCCCCACTAGCTTCCTGTGCTCCACGTACCTTGTCCTTCCTGCTGTCCCTGGAATATGCCAGGCACGCGTTTGCCTCAGGGCCTCTGCGTTTGCTTCTCCCTTTGCCTGGAACACCTTTCCTTCACCGCGGGCAAGGTGCTGCCTCGACTTTCTTCAGGCCTCTGCTCCAAGGGCACCTTCTCAGACACAATCCTGTCTTTTAGGTCCTCAGCTTCTTTGCCCTCTTGCCTCCTGCCACCCTGCCTGCGACACTCTTACCTTACTCTTCCCTTTGTCAGCTCCTGCTCCCTCTTCAAGTCTCTGTTTAGGTGTTGCCTTCACGAGGAAGCCTTGAGAAGGTCCCCAGGCTCATTTAAAACCCTTCTTAATAAAGTCATGAACAATACAAAGTCCAGTCTTCTCTTGAGTGACACAGTAGTTGCTTTTCTAGAAAATTTGGCGTATATTAAAACCGTCCAAAAAATACTTAAAGTTTACATGTCGGGAGAGTTAGGGTCTAGGTTCAGGTTATTGTGAACAGGTTTTCAGCTGCACTAAGTCCTGGCAGGACATGTAGGAGGAGAGGCCATTCTGGTGCGAGACCCTTCTTTCCATTGCAAGGCCACCCATTGCCAGCCCTGGTCCCCAGTCCTTGCTCCCTTCATCACTGTGTCAACCCAAAATGCCCCCTAACTTCCCACGAAGTCCAGGAGGCTGGGGGCTCACTCTGGACCATGCTCATGCTTGGCTACCAGCAAGGCCTTTCCACCATGGAAACTGGCAATGATTTATCCTAGCTTAAAGATCTGTGGGTGATCGGCTCCCCAAGATCCATCTCCTTGGCTGGTGTTGGAGTCTCTGAACCTGATTGTCATCCCCTCTTTACTTTTGTGCCAATGGGAAAAGCCCTTTTGTAGACCACAGGATCCCTGATCCCTCCTTTGGAGGTCTCAAGTTCATCCTTCCCTCTAACACTACCTGGCAGCTAATGTTTATTGAGCACTTACTATATACCCCAGGCAGTCTTTTTTTTTTTTTTTTTTTTTTTTTTTTTTTTTGTGCCCGGCAACGGATCGCAACCCTCAGTGTCGCGCCCGTACCGGACCAGGACCGGCAACGGGATCTCAACCCTCGGTGTTGCGCCC